AGGTTTACTGGTCTGACGGAAACTGATGAGAACCAGAGACTATGGTCCCTAGTTACCTTTCAGGCCTAGAATTGAACTGACTCCCCTGCCTTCCAGACAACAATAAACAGGCATACAGGGTGAACATTTACAAGAGGTAGAGACACTTCTTAGAGCAATCAATCATGGGAGAACAGAAGGGCAGTATTTGCACAGGGAGATTGGCTCAGGGGACAGGGATGCATAGGAAAGAAGGACATAAAGATACAAGAAGAGAAGAACGCTGTTACATTGTTGGAAATTGCAGTCAATGTCACGAAGTAAAATGTGTATGAATTGCTGTATGGAAAACGAATTTTCTCTGTAAACTTTCACTCAAATCACAATAAAATAATAATAATTAAAAAAAAAAAAAACAGTCACTGATCATGTTCGTAACTCGGGGACTCTGTACTTTTTTCTCTCCGGTTGTGAGAGGTTTTCTCAAGGAGCAAAGCAAAGGAAACATCGGAGCGGCCTCAGGGCCTACACAGTTGAGAGTCCCCAGGGCGCTGAAGAGTAAAGGTGGTGTGTGATTGTTAGGTAACCCCAGAGTCTCGAACCGGGCCCGAAGGAAGGACCTACCTTCCGGGCAACTGTGGCCCCCACCCGGGTTTCTCCTGGGAATCAAAGTTCGGCCCGACATGCTGGCGCAGGGCTGCGGCCCAAAGGAGACCCCCCATGCCTGCCACTCCTGGAGCCATTTCCCAGGCAGGCCCCCAGAGGGCCCCCTCCCCTGCGGGCCACGGCCTCGCTGCCCCCGCGCAGAGTCAGGGGTGGCCGCGCAGCTGAGGGACGCGCCTCCGCGCCTGGGCCGCTGAGTGGACAATGACCCCTACTCCTCTGCAGACGCCTCTTCCCGGCCACCACCTCCGCCCAGCCCCCAGGCAAACCTATTAGCCATTCAGGCTGACAAAACCCCGCGGCCTGACGCATTGTCCCGCCGAGCGCCCGGCCGCTGTCATTAGTCCTGATTACGCTGAGCTGCCTGACAGCCCCGCGGCCGGCTCCGCAGAACCCCCCCCAATCACTGCCGCCCCCGGCCCCGCCTCACAATAGGAGCGGAAATCGTTCGTGCTCCCGCGTCCGCTCTGAATGGGGCGAAAAGCTGCTTCTCCTCTCCTCCCGCCCCATTCACATTCTCTTTGGATACAATATTTTTTCCCCTTTTTGTTAAAATTAGGGAGAGAGAAAGAGGTCAAGGAAGATTTTGCTTGAGCTCTTTGGCTGTCATTTGTTTAATGTAAACAAAGAACAAGTCTCCCCCCCACACACCCCTAGTCTTCCCACCCCCTCCCTCTGAGATTTCTATAAACAAACGGGCAAAGGGAAGGGGAGGGGACGGGTGGAAGTGGAGTGGGTCGTTAATGTGGAGACACAGCAACCGTGGCGTTTGGGAAGCAGGAGCCATTGGGATTTTGGATGAATTGGCGTAGCTTTAAAAGAGCTCGAGCAAGGACTGGGGGCAGACCTCTCACATTAGTCAGGTCCCCTGAAATGTGAAAATGCAGTTTATTTCCACTCCTCTGGGCTAACTGCTTTTTGAGAAATCATGGCAAGAGAGGATTGCAGGAAAAGAAAAGCAAGCCATGGCAAGGAGATTTTTCCGGAGAACCTTCACCTTACTAGTACCTGAATTTTTTGTTTGTTTGTTTTTTAAAAGACCTCTTCTCTAAACTAGGGTAAAACGGATGTGAAAAAAAGAAACATTAAAAAGAAAAAGAAAACCTTTACAATTCATATCCAATGGAAGATTTGGATCAATACAAATAAAATAAATCTTCATGTGAAAATGTAGACCAATTTCCAACATGTGTTGGTCATCAAAAAAAGCTCTTGGTGGCACAGTGGTTAAAGCGTTTGGCTTCTAATCCCTGGGGAAAGATGTGGCAGTCTGCGTCTATAAAGATTTACAGCCTTGGAAACCCTATGGGACAGCTCTTGTCTATATAGGGTCAGAAACAGCCTCACGGTAGTGGGTTTTTGGTTTTGGGTGGTCATTAAAGGACTGATTATTTGCAAAGGCAGTTAAGTGCCGTCAGGTTTCAGGATCAGCTTTTTAAAAAATTAACTATGTCACCTCCTTAGGACTCTAAGGGTCACTATGGGCGGAACCAATTTGATGGCGCTGGGTTTTGCTTTTGGTCTTTTGGTTTTGCACTGGTCTTTTGGTTTTGCTTACTTATTAGATAAATAAATTTCTGAATTATTAAAACAGAATGTTGTTGTTGTTGTTATGTGCCATCGAGTCGGCCCCGACTCATAGCGACCCCTCCTTGGGTTTCCGAGGCAGTATCACTACGGAAGTAGGATTGCCCAACCTTAAAACAGAATAGCTACTCCAAAATGTAATCCTTAGGCAGCATGTTAATTTAAGCAAATGGTAGATGTAGCTCAAAGGCTTTCATCAAAGCAGGGAGAGAAATCTTCCATCCTTCTTCAGCCTTTCTCTTTTCTCCAAGCAATTAAACATCAGTTTAAAATTATTGTATATAGAGAAAGTTTCATTCCTAGTTGTTTCTTCTGTTTTCGTGAGAATGCAGAGTGGATATTTCCTTCTGCTTAGGCATTGTCTGAACTGGTGAATGGGGTGGGATTTTTAGAATCTCACATTCCTTTACATGATTCTGCTAATGAGTCTTGGACCTGGAAACATTAGCTTAAGAGATAAAATTAGTCAAATGTTGGTTCTGGAGAGCTATATGGCTAGGATAGGATGAGGTCCTGGGGACTTATTGATGTGAAACCTCAGTAGGCCCAACCGGGACTAAGGGGGGTGGGGCAGAGGTGCCTAGAGTGCAAAATTTAAGGAGGCACTCTCTCAGGATCATGCAAGTACAGGGTCAGCACCTGAAAGTGAGTGCCTCCTTAAATTTGCACACTAGGCACCTTGCTTTAGTCTTGTCCCTGCCCCTTGGCATTCTAGGAACAACGTGAGGCTCTAAGAAACAAAATAAGAGTCTTGAAGGAGCACTACCATCCTAGTCTTTCAGGACCCATAAAAGGACATTTGCTTGCATTTGGAACTAACACCAGATTGATCACAAAGTCTTCTCCACTCTTTATTATCTAGAGCTCTTGTGCAAGAAAGAAGAGTTGATTTTCAACGATTTTCAGATTATGGCAGCCGTACATAAAGACAACCATTTATAAAGTCCAAATTAGGCCAAATTGGTTTAAGTGATGTAGAAACAAACAAAAAACTAACCCTTATTCATGCCCTGGATTTCCACCATATATATTTTGCCATTTTATTGCTTTTTGTCTTCCATAACTTATTTTTGTTTGATTTGCCCTTAAGCATTTCTGCCTAAATAAGTTAGCATACTTTTGATTCAAAGAGAAAAGAACATCTTCTAAGGACAGAGGGACAAATGAAAGGAGACCGATTTGGAGGAGGAGGAGGCTAGTTCAAGTGATTTAAAGATCAATGTCAAATTTTTATAATATGCAATCCTTTTCACTAGGAAAATAGCTTAAAGGTTCTCTAGACAGTGTTAAGTTTCTTAGTGCAAGGACAGTAGTAGATGTTTTTGTTTTTGGTACTTTGAGAGAAAAAATATGGAGCTTATATTTTTTAAAAGATTCCTGTCACTTCTCTGTAACTTCTGTTTTACCCCAACAAGTGACATGATTATATCCTTTCCCTTCTTGGTATCCTTCTCATTGGAAACCAACTGTTCTTATAAAACCCACTTCTGCAACACAAAGCTAGTCTAGTCATTTACAACCTTTCCTATTCTCTTTTTCTCTTATTTTATTAACAGTGCAATCCTAAATGCAGTATATGCTCACTCTGACCAGAGCGTGGGTACCCACTGCTTTTTTATCAGAGGAGAAGGAGAATGAGGAGGCATGCCTTCCTCATTCCAGAGGCCAGGCCAGGATAGTCTTCCATTTTATAGAACAGGAATCACTCCTCCAGTATCTGAATTTGGCTTCCAAAGTTGTTCCTGAAAGCCACTGATAATTTATAAAAGTGTCAGAAACAAGTCATAGTTACCTGTGCTGGGGACCTTTTGGGGAGTTGCCTTACGGAGGATTATGTGCATGTTGCCGATTTCTAGGTTTATCATACATGCACACACATATATTTACATACACATATACCATTGTTGTTGTTAGTTGCTGTCAAGTAGATTCTGATTCATGGTGACCCTAAGTGTGCACAATGGAACTGCTCCAAAGGAGTTTCAAGGCTGTGATCTTTTGGAAGCAGATCACCAAGTCTGTATTCTGAAGTACCTCTAGGTGAGTTCAAACTGCCCTTTCAGCATCAACTGTTCGAGCCACCCAGGGACTCTCATGTACACGCACATGCACGCACACGTGCACACACAGAGACATATACATGTACATATATTTTGACCTGGGAGGTGACTATGGACCTACTGAGGGTTGTTTTTAAAATATAACAGGAGATATCAGAAAAGGCAAAAAGTACAGAGAAGACCCACAGGACCGGTTCACAAGCGTTCTTGCCTTGCAGGAATCTGAAAGCAGCTCCCTTGAGTAAGAATGGATGCTCACCAGGTTGTTTTATTGTTTAGCCGCTCCACACAGATCCTGTTGTCGGCAGCCTGCACGTTTAGAAACACCAAGTCCCCCAAGCTATAGAGAAGTCTACCGAGGCAGTCCCTTAAATAAGTAAATAAACAACTTATATATGTTTTGTTTTTTAAAAAACTTTAAAGCAAAAGTTATACATATATAACAGCGTCCTTTTGACGTGAAATGCCCAGGGGAGACTTAGGGTAGGCGCTCAGGGAGCAGTTCAGGTTCCAGAGGCATCTTTGCCACAAAATCTTTAAGTAAAAGCAAAGCAAGGAAAACGTTGCCCTGGATCAGGCCTAACTGCACACACAGGTCTGTTTGGTCACTGTTGGAGGGCGTCGGTGGAACTGGGCTGGCCAGGGACGGACACAGCAGCCAGACTCCGCTGGTCCCTGGACACCTGGCTTCAGAAAGGGCTAGGTTTGCTTGGTCTCTCCTCCTCCTTCCTTCCTTCCTTTTGTTGTCTCCTTTTTACACCCGATTCTGAGCGTGCTAGCTGGACGGCTCAGATGTCGCATTCGCTGTCGCTGGACGTGATGGAGATAGCCGAAGTGGCCACCTTGCTGGACAGACTAACGGCTGGGCTAACGGCGGTGCCCAGCATCTCAGGCGTGCCCTCCTCCTCGGCGGCTCGAAGCGGTCGCCCGGAGCCGTGCGACAGCACCTGCTGCTGGAGCCTGCGAAGGAGGAAGGGGAGACTGATCACAGCACGTAACAGAGCCCTCGAGAGCTCCTCGGTCTGACCCTCTCCAGCCCGGCTCAGACTCGGGCAGGTAAGGCAAGCTGGAGCCTGCAGCCGCCTCTCCAGGAGCTCAACTCTCCTCCGCACCTTTTCTCCACTTCCCACCTCCCATTTTTGGGATTTGGGGGACGGCAGGGCTTTCCCTCGCTCTTCCTCACTTTCAGGAGATTGACGGGACTATCAGAAAATAGCCAAGTCTGGACAAGGACAGAGCAGGATCTAGGACTGGGGACGTCCTTCCCAGCACACAACTGCCTGTAGCGCACATACGAGTCAATAGCTCCGGGCCGAGTCCAGCGAGCTGGAGGCAAAAACGGCCGCCTGAGTGTCGCACGTAATGTTGAGGTCTGGAAGGCTACGTTGTGTTCTTGACAGAAATGTTTGCCTAATCGAGGTCTACACGCTATGACTAGTTTGCTGTTTTGTGACAGGGCTAGCCGCGCTTGGGAAGAAGAAAACTCGACTTCTCACGTAGAGACAGAAGTCCATGGAAACCTGTTTTCAGAGCGCTAGAGTCGGATGCACCCAGGCTTTTTGAATGACAATTAACACTAAACCTGTTAAAAAGCCAAGCTTCGCTTTGTAGGAAGAGCCTTGGCCCAGGCTGAAACAATTAGCTTTAGGCCGTGGGATCCCTATTCGTTTCTGAGATTTTTTTTTTTTTTTCAATGCAGCCTGGTTTGGTGCCTGGAATCCACTGCTGGAGTGACCTAGAGGAGTCAATGGGAGAGACGATTGGGGAACAAGAGCCCCGAGGGATCCCCCCGCCCAGGAGTCCAAAAACCTGTGGTCGGGTCACCGGAGACAGACCCCAATTCCTGCTGAATCCGAGGCGCCTGGCCCGGGGAGAAGGAACCCAGGGTACTGCCGCCCGCCCCCTCCGCGCCAGGCACGGAGGCTTCTAGGTACAGACCTGTTCTTGGCTGCGGCCGCCCTGTCCCTTTGTCGACGGTTCTTGAACCAGTTGCCCACCTGCGTGGGGGTCAGTCCGGTTGCCTGGGCGAGCTCACGCTTTTTGCTGGGGTTGGGATATGGGTCCTGCAGGTACCACTCCCGTAGCAGGTGTCGCGTGCGCTCCTTGAAGCAGTGTGTCTTCTGCTCGCCGTCCCAAATGGTACGCGGCAGAGGGAACTTCTTCCTCACGCGGTACTTGTCCACTGGCCCCAGGGGCCGTCCACGCAGCTTCTCAGCCTCCTGGTAGTGCGCTTCAAGCCACAGCGCCTGAAGCTTGGCGTGCGACTCCTTGGTGAATTTATGGTTCTCCAGGATGTGGTAGAGCTCGCGGTAGTTGCCGCCGTGGAAGGCCACGATGGCCCGCGCGCGCAGCACCGACTCATTCTTGTTGAGGGCCTCGCAGGCCGCGGGGGCCACGGGCAGCGACCACAGGAAGCGACCCAGACGCTCCACGTCGCCGCTCTCCTCCAGGGTTTCGCATACCCCGGCCACTTGCTGGGGGCTGAAATTCAAGATGGGCAGCTGGAACATCGAGGCAGCGCTGGCGGCGGCGGAGGCGCAGAGCCCCAAGCGGGACACGCAGCAGATGCCCGCAGGCCCGGCCGGCTGCGCCAGGCTCTCCTCCGTGAGGCGGCTCGGGAGCGGGGGCGGCGGCAGCGGCGGGGAAGGAGAGAATGGGACTGAAGGAGGTGCGGGCTCGGCGGCTCGAGTTCGGCTGGGTTGAGCTCCGGTAGGCAGGCGGACGGGTGGGCGCCGCTACTGGGGTGGGCGGACTGGCGGCGCCGGCGCCATGGAGACCCTCTGTCAGTCACCGGCCAGCTCTGCCAATCAAGGCTATGGCTAGCTCGTCTGGGCCATTTCAGCACCTCCCCGTGCTTGACAGCGCCCACTGGTAGTCTGTCCACTTTTCCTTAATATTTTGCAGAAGCTGGAGAGCAAAAAGACATGCCAGTGGCTGGGAGAGAAACAGGCAAAACGGGCAGAGTTCCCCTCCCCGCCCCCAAAGTCTTGCCCTTCCCTCCTTTTTGTAACCCCAAAAGACGCACGAATGCTACAGGAATCCACTTTGGGGAGATTCACTGCCTTGGTCGAGGGGGCTCCAGAGGACAAAGAGGACTGGGCCAAATCGAAATTCTCCGAGAATTCGCAAGTTTAGTTGTAAGGAAACAGCAAACTATGCGGGGAGTGCATGAATGGGAGAGGGAGGGGAAGTGAAGAGAGGATTAATCACCCTATTTCTTCCCAGCATCCGTTCTTTCATGCCTTCCCCCTTTCCCCTTTTCCAGCTGCCAAAGCAGCCGAATGGGAAGTGAATCTGGAGCAGGAGGAACGGGACCAGGGATCTGTAGAAAAGGTCAGTTTGGACTCCATTTCCCCGCCCTTACAAAGCCTCCTGAAAGCATTGTACAACAGAGCAAAGACACACTCACATCTGATAACGCAGATGCTGACCATTAAGTCCGACACTCACCATCAAAGGAAGGCTATAGGAATGTCTCACCTGAAGAAAGTCATACTTTTCATGCCCCCTGCCCCGCCCAGTTAAATGGACTCGAACAAATGTGCAGTATAGCCACATCTAGAACGAGAAGTCACTGGTTGGTCAGAACAGCAGCTTAAAAGCTTATTTCAAAGATTTTTTTAAAAAAATATTGATTTGCTCCTTTCCTTGAAGTCTAATTTTGCCTCTATTCTGTGTTAGAATATGTAACTCTTGAGCTGGGGACAGAAACTCTAACCTTGGCCTTTTTGCCTATAAGCAAGTCAATAAAAGTAACATAGAGAGGAGGAACCCACAGCAACTCGGGGGACCTAGCAAGCACTCCCTAAGCCTCTCTGGGCAGTCACCCTTCCTGTTGGAAGGGCCTTCTTGGCAGGACTACTTTCTGCCTTTGGGGTGGCAGGCTTTATTGGCAACTATTATTGATTCCCAATTGACATCCACATCACACCATCTTCTCTTCTGAAGCCTTGACCAAATAAATCACTGTCTCGTCTAGTCCTTTGATAAGGTGTGTTTAGTTTGAAGAAAATAATTGGGGGAGAAGGTGGAAGTAAACGCCAGGAAACTGTCTTTGGAGGCTCATCCTATGAAAGGAATCAGATGGGAATGTTCACCGCCAAACTGCACTGGGTCTGGCTATCTTTTCTTTAGTATCAGGCACAGTTACTACGGGGCTTGTACAGATCTGGTAAATCAGAAGGCAGATAGATAGCACAGATGGTTGGAGGTGTCGGGTCAGATCATGCTACGCCTGAGTGCAGGGCAAAGCTCGTTCTGACGGAAAACCTTGATATTATTTTCACAGATCTTCACAGTTCACGCGAAAAAAAAATAGCAGAGGGGAAGGGAAAAGAAAAATCCCCCTCATTTCTGCGAGGTTGCCAGAGGCCTCAACGGAGAGGCTTTCTTTTCCAAGCACTCATTTTCTTGAAATGCTTGACAGGGCTGGGGCAAAACTAAGAGGGCAACGAGGATGAAGATAACGACAAAGCACAAACCTCTCTAGGTTGGGCGACTTTCAAATTAGCCAGAAGGACAACTTTTACCCAGAGACCTTGCATACAAGGCCTGGAACACGCAGGTAGAGGAGAATCCCGGCTTCAGAAATGGGGGGTGGGGGGGGACGACAACACAAGATCCCCGGAGAACTGTGTCCCCAGCACCTCTGCCCAGGGAAGCAGAATTCTAGCACAGGAGAGCACCCCCTCCCCTTGCTTCCATTTGCATTAGTTTCCTGTTTCCTCTTCTTGGGATCTATCCCCTCCCGATTCTCACTTCCTGCTGGTACTCCCCTCGCTGAAGAGGCCGGGAGTCCGCAGTGACCTTCCAGCCCCCAAGTCCAAGAGCCCACCTCCACCCCCTCGAAGGGCCGCTGGAGCTGGGGAGGGGTTTTCCTGTCCCAAGGAGACCAGGCCTCCCCTACACGCTTTTCCTTCATTCTTTGAAAACAACGGATTCCAGGAGAACTGGCTTCTTCAGGGTATGAGTGAGTCATGTTAGCTTTCTGAATTTAGGCGCCCAGAGAGCGTCTGAATTTAGGCGTCTCAGATGAGACTGCCCAGATTAATCCAGGAAATGGGAATATTTACTCTATAGCCCATTTTTGGACATTAAATTGTGTGCGTGTCAAAGATTAGATGATAGGGTGCTTTAGCTTCTGCTTGTCTGTGGCTCGCGGGATGAAGGGGCCTCGGACTGGGAAGGAGACAGACCCTGGCTTGGAAACTCAGGGAAAGGGCGCAGGCTGCTGGCGGGCATAGTCAGAGCCTGGCCGCACGCAGTGTCTGGTTGCTGGGTGAGCGGGGCCAGAGAGATAGGTGTCCAGAGGCCCATGTCTGCTGTGTCAGGAGATCATAACTTTGCCATCGGAAAGAACTTGATTTACTTTTATTAATGCAAAGGAAATAAACTGTTCTAGGACACTTTGGAGTCCTGTATTCGTTCACCAGTTTCAAGCAGGAAGGGAATAAACAGGAGGAAATAAGTGAACTTCCCATCCTTAGGAGAAGGAGGAGCTCAGCCGGTTCTTTTGAAATCATCTTTGTGGATTAGGTGAGTGACCTCCCACCTCATCCTTAAAGCAGGTTTCTCGGGAGAAAGGTTAATATACAGGTTGACTTTTATTAATTTTATGGAAGAATAGATTTTTAAAAAACCAATTCTGGGGCTTTATATCAACCTTCAAGCAACCCCCTCCATACCTCCCTTTCACTTTAGTTTTGTGTTTGACCAAATTTAAGAAACTGCAGCAGTGGTCCTTGGCCTCTGGCTTGTCTGGGAGGCTTTGCAACTTTCTGCAGTTGGTTTGCAGCTAGTAGATTTGGGAACAGGAGGTCTTGAGCTAATACTCAGTTACCCCCAGGAATCCTCCATAAACTTCTGTTCTCCTTTCTGCATTGGAGTTTTGCTTTATGGGAAAAATATGGAGAAAAAATAATTGGAAGATGATGCCCGGGGCAGATTCTGTGCCCTAACTCTTCGGGCTGCATTTAGGCAGAGTGCACCTAGAGCTGTTTGGTTCAAGCCAAAATCTGCAGTCTGGGACTTCTTGCACGTGTAGGATTCTCGCCCCTGGTTCTGCCTTTTCTGATTTTCCTCTCTCCAGTAGATGGACACATGGAGCCCTGATTACATCCTGCTGAACAATTCACCAGAGGAGCCCAGTGCGTGGAGGTTCAGGACATTTTTACCTCTGGATTACAATCGCTGTCTTGTCTTACTGTTCTTCCTGCTCTTTGTCCCCCCTACCCCCCTGCAACTTTTCCTAAGTCAAATGCTTGCCAAAATAAAATTGTATTTTTGTTTTATTTCTCACACAATTTCACAGTCAGGGTTTTTAATGATGTGGTAATTGAATGCATCTGAATTACTTGATAAAGACATTTGGGCCGTCTGCATCTGAGAGTCACAGACTAGAGGACAATCAGGGCCCAGCCTTTTGTATTTGTCAGTTCTGACTTTTGAGGGAAAAGATTTTGATTTCCCTTTCCTGCACTTCATGGCCGTATGCTGACTTGAGAGCAGGCTTTTATTTTTATAACTTTATTTATTTTTTTAAGTATAGAATATTCTAGAAAGTTTTAAAGGCCATTTTGCAGTCTTCAATATGACAATCTTAAAATTTCACCCTCTCAAACATTTGTCAAAATTTGTTATTTTGGTTTTTGGGTGATACTATAAGCAAAAATATAGATGTATGCTTGTTTGTGTACTTGGTGGTCCCGATTTTCAGGTTTGGAATTAATTTAATACTCCATTTTTAAAGTGTGAACTATCTAATAAGCTCCCAAGGTAGACTGCTCTATATCACCTATTGCCCCCTTGCCAGTACACTCCTTGTGACAAAGAATAGAGAAGCCTCTTTTCTTCTGGTCTCCTGAGAACAGGCACTGTTTGAGTAATGTTTTGCAGACTTCCTAGCACTGTAAAGCTAACTGAGCAAAAAATATTACAATTAAAGTATGAATCTGATTTTAAGAGATTAGGATAATTTGTTATTTGCAGATTTATTCACTAGCTAATTGTTAAATGACACTTTCAAGTGATTCAAAATTGTTTATGTTTTTAAGTAGAGGAAATTTTTATAAGTTTAAGTGTGGGGAAATGTACCATCTGTATCAAATGTACCCTATTTGATCTCTACTCTGTGGTTGCTCCAAGGCATTTAGATGAGAATTTGTATATAAGCCAATGAGTGTATTTCAACTTACACACTAGCAAAACTGTGGTCTTAAATTCACTTTTGTATCCTCATCTGCTTTATAAGGCAAGTCTAAATGTGCACAGAGCTAACCATTCCACAAAATTGCTTACAACTATGCATCAACGAGCTCTTGACTGAAGGATTAAGCTTAAAAATATAACCAGCATGTCACTTACAAACAGTAAATGAAACATTAGTTGAAAGAATGATTTTCTTAATTCTCCACTGGAACATTACTTTTTGCCACCACCAGGTTATTTTTGACCATTTTCAAACCCAAGATCAAAGTATCCTTCTGACAATACATGTTGGTATTGTTGCTAGGCACCATTGAGTTGACTCTAACTCATAGTGACCCTACGTGCAACAGAACAAAATACTCCCTGGTTGTGTGCCATCCT